TGAGAAGCCACGTTTTTTTCTTTCCGAAAAGAAAGAGTGAAAATTGGTATTGCCTGTAAGTAATATTTCACACAGAAAGATAGTTAAATTTTTCAAACATTTTGAATCCCACATTCAGATTCTAGTCAGGGGTTTTATCAAACGCGGGGTATACTGAGAATCTCCTTGGGTCAAGTGTCTAATAGATGTCTGATGGAACCAGACCTGTTTGTAATTCTGCACGGAAAGTGTGAGCGTGCTGAAAACTCTTCATGAACTTCTGTGTATGCAGATGGGAGGAAGAAGCTGGTGATTTTTAGGGTGCTTCTAACAAATTTATTACCTACACTGAAGCAGATCATAAACTGACTTACTTGTCTTTGGCACTGGAGGTGTTGTTCAGTAACTTTATTTTTCACTTTGTAACAATATTGTAGTTCTGAATTGAAACAAACAAAAAATGCTCAACAAAGCAAACCAGCTGGTGTCTTGCCCTTCTCGTCCATGGTGGTGTTTCATCTCGAGACAGCTAATGAATTGTGTAATTGAATAATTAGTGGTGTTTCAGTAGCCTTTTTGAAGGCTTTTCAAGAAAGGAGGGAAGGTCTACATGACAAAGAAGAGAAAAACGTTACTTTCAGCTGTTTCTTTGTTTCTAAAGTTAATAAAATGTTAAGATTAAATATTTAACACCCCCAACCTTAAACAGGTTTTTGTACTCTAAAATGTGTTACTGAGTTTTAATGTATTTTGGAGTTCTGCAGTAGATTGATAAACTAAATAGTATCATTGTGGTGTCAGAAACTATGGAGTCACAAACTGCCTGTGGATGTCTGATATCCTTAATGTCTTTATAAAAAAGTTTCTGTAGGTTCTAGCAATGGAACTTCACAGCATGAAAATTATAAAATCACCACAGTATAAAAATCTTTGCTGTTTCCTTCAGTAGCATTCATGATCCTGGGCAAATAATAACAGTAAAAGTTATACTTTTGGTTTCCTGCTGTTTATTTCAAGTCATTTATTTTAACTAGGTTATTCAAGGAGCTAAAACCCAAAAGACATATTCCCTCTACCAAATTGCTGTTGATCATTTAATGTGTTCGTGGGTTCTGTGAAATACAGATGTATGATTCTATGATTCTTTCTACGATTCTATGATTCTATGTATTACCCTGACTGATGGGAAGAATGAGCTGCACGGATTTTCTGATTAGGAAACTCCAAATCCGGTATACGAGGGTCTCATTTTTCTTCTGGTGTTTCCTACTTCATCATCACCATAATCACATTTTCACGCCAATAAAATTGTCCATAAAAAGCCTTCATGAAAAAGTGTTTACAGCCTGAATTTCATTTTAGATACTAGGGCCTTTAAGAATACTAAAAAGAAAATCATGTCTCACTTGCGCAGTTCTGCTCTCATTTAAGACCTGGTCCTCAGTCCAATATTCAGTTTAACTGTAGCTGCTGGTTATCGGACAGGTTAGTGCTTCCAGGCAGCAGTTACGGCACAAACTGCTTTAGACTGTCTAGTGCCCCATTCAGAAGTGGCCACTGAAAGCTGCCCCGGGTGATGCCTCTTCTGCCCCATCTTTTGTCACGTATATACTGTAATCTGCCTTGGATTCTGGTTTCACTGCAGGGTGTAGGACTTGCCTCAGAGCAGTATATGCAAGATGATTCAATGTAGAGTTGGACACAGGGTTCAGAGGTGGAAGGGCCAGTTCAGGACAAATTTGGAATGGACTCTGTTATAGACAGGTGAAGACAAACACTGATTAAGCTGCCATGGTCCCTCAGGCCCCAGTTCTGATGTCTTGCAGCATAGAGATTTATTTATTTTAAAAGGATGATTGAATGGTTAAAACTGAAGACTGAGTCACACAATCGAACACCTTGGCTGTATATTTGATGTGTTTACTTGAGTAAGACTTGCCAGTCTGTCTCAGATGAAATGTGGAAGGTGATGTTGAAGATGGGAGACAGGGAAAAATTACCCCCAGCTCTTTGGTAGCATATCAGAGCCTCCCCCCTCTGTTGAACAATTTCCCCCTAATGTTTCCTGTAGTTGTTACTGCCAGTTCAGGCTGTGTAATTGAGTGGATGGTAGCTTGTATTTGGTTTGTCTTTTAAGCAACAGTTGCCTAACACTGGCTGTATGAGCATTGCCATCAGCCCTACTGTGAGAGCTGAACTAATACCAGTAGCTGTGGGGAAACTTCCAGAGAAAATTACTAGTGGAGTGGAGGCAAAAAATTACTACAGGTAATAGTTTGAGGGAACGCAGGGGCTGGAGAAATACAGGGTAAGATGGAAGAAGCATGGAAAAAAGAAGTCTCTTAGATTTCCTGCTTCCTTCGGCACCCGTGGAACAGAGTGAATGAAACAGCTTAGTTTTGTTTTAAAGTAGGACAGAGTTCCTTTAGGATAGAAAAGATGTATTTGACAAGAAGTGGAAGTAAAAATGAGGAATAAGTTCCTGTCAGATAAGTGTGTTGTTTTTATTCCTGGAGATTTGGGACTAGCTTTATAATTCTCCAGTGATTGCTTTGCAGACTTCTTGGAAGGAAACAAAAGTAGTTGGAAGCCAAATCATAGAGTGTTTTGAAAGAGTGAGGGAGCTTAACTTTTATGCAGAGAAATGTGCAAGCCAAAATGAGAAAGTAGAGGGGGAAGATGGAATTGAAAATGAGCATTTTGGGCTAGTTACTGAAAGGCAGTGCTCAGAGCTGGGGGGGAGGGGTACATGCTAGCAAGTGCATGGCGTAATTAGCAAGTTTGACTAAACATTTGGAATATGTAGTTTCTGTATGTTTTCTTGCACTACAGAAACGCATCTAAATATTTTTTTTCAGCTAACACAGCTCATGTCACGTACCAAGATTTAAAGAAGCCTACAGTTTAAACATTAAATAAATACACGTTTCTGAAGTAGGTATTTTCAACAAACATACAAAGCATAAATGTGGATTTAGGACCCTAACTCTAGCTCTTGAATATCTCCTTCTGTGACTTTTATTGCCTGCCATAAAAGAATGATTCATGAATTCCCTCTTTCTTCTCATTGTCCTTTGTGAATTATAAAAAAGTCACTTCTTTGCTGTGGTTCTTAATTGCTGTGTAGTTGATGAAAATAATTGGCAAAGGCAAATATTTTTCCCAGAACACTGTAACTGAGTAGGACCCTGAAACTAAGCTTTGCTTACCTGCTGAGAGACAGGTTGATGTTTATTAACAGGAGGTATACATTTTGACACCACGTAAACAGAAGTTACTAGCCATCTGTTACAGCTGTGTGTTTTCTATAGCTACTGCAGAGCTAGCTGTTAAGAGTAGCTAAAGATAAGATTAAAAGTCATCAGTTCAAAGTTCAGAGGAGATCACTACCTTCAAGGACAAGAAACAGCTGAATTTGTTAGCCACTGCTTTAAACCAGAAGCACTTCACTTGCACTGACAATTAAACTTGTCTCACAAGTGAAGTAGGTAAGGCCAATTATGGGGTCGTAGTGTGCCACGGTTCCTGAGTTCGTATGCTAGTTTGGCACGGCTGCCCACTGAAAATATAAAGCTATTGTAGTATTCGTCTTTATTACACAAAATGCCCAGGTCTCCTCTTCTAATTCTTGTATTAGGAAGATAAGGAAATTAGTTTTGTAAATGTTTAAGTATTTGAATTAAATTATTTCAGTATTGAATAGTTTTCATTAAAATTATGGTAAAGAGTTTTTGCATAATTTTGCATGGGTTTTGCTTTTCTTCAGCATGAGAAGAATTTTAGAATGAGGGTTTAAACAAGTTAAACCAACTTTCAAGGCCAGTCAGGCTTCTTAAGAAGTTATGGATAAAATCTCAGGAAGTTCCCTCTCCCTGCTCCCCGAGTTTCAAACACAGGCTGAAGCTTTTGGTGCCTCGGCTGTATTAACAGTGTGTGTACTTTGTCGTTTCAATTTTTTTGCCTTTTCCGAGTATGCTTGTGCTTGTAAAAAAACAAATGAAGATCTTTTACTCTCTTTCACTTTGGAAAAAGTGGTTGAATTGAACCTGGTTTTAGAAGAAAATAATAGCTTTATTATTTCTGTAAGTAGACCTAGCTCTGAATAGTGTGTTGCTGTCATGTGTAAATCTTAAGCAATGATACTGAAGGAATTTGAGATCTTACATATAGAAGTTCAAAATTTCCCATTATTTTACAGTAGTCTCTCAGAATTGTACTGCTTTTTCTTCCCCACCTAGAAGTGTAAATCTATAATTAGAGGAAAACCTGGATAAAATCATAAATAAAATGGCACAATATATATAATCTTAACTAGGACAAACTTTTTTTTTATATAGCATGAATCTTTTTCTAGTCGAAAAATCTGTCTGCAATGGTTCTCCACAGCGTGAAATTTCTGTTATGTAGGTAAAATGCTCCCTTTTCAATTTCAAGTAAATTCTCACTGCTAGTAGACAAGTTACTTGATTATTTTATTTTTGTTGTCTTTTAGTGTTGCCTTTAGGTCTTTTAGCATACATTTCTAAACATAATTAGGAAAAGGAAGTTTTAAAACTGCATCTGAAGAATTATGAATGCAAAAGGAAATAGTAATCCTACCAAATTTCCTAAGCAATTCTGCAATACAATTAAAACAGTAAGAGCAGAAGGTGAATTTGGCTTTTCACAGCAACTTTATATGTGTCTGTTTAAACAAGCAGTGCTGTCATTTGTTCTAAGAATTTCCAAAAGAACAAAATAATCTCTTGAGATAGATAAACAGCAATAGATAAAATAACGAGTGATGTTCTCAGTGGGGTACAGTTTAAATAGAGAAAATTTAATGGGAAGTAGCTACATTAGTAGCAGATGGATTTACTTCCTGAATCTCGATCTGAGTGGAAATCGGAGCTTACTTAAAATTTGTCTTCCAGATTCTTAGCCTGATAAGAAAGGTGGATGAAGCAATTTATTTACTTGGCTTTGGTGCTCTGACGATGTGTTTTGTTTAAACTCGCTATTGTTGTTTGATTTTTATCTAGGCTATTTTTATGATTCCTACAAATCCCCCTCCAACCTTCCGGAAGCCAGAGCTCTGGTCTGATGAATTCACAGATTTTGTGAAGAAATGCTTAGTGAAAAATCCTGAACAAAGAGCTACAGCAACACAGCTGCTGCAGGTCAGTAAGTTACTGAAGAAATGCAAGCTTTATGGCTTTTTTGTCTAGTCTCAAACCAGAGCTGTTGTGAAAATTTCTAAGGGCAAATCTCATTTTAACTATTATCATGCCTTCTTTCTTTTGCACTTTGTGGTCTTTTCTCTGTCAGCTCCTGTATTTCTACCCCAATTTCATTTCTCCTTTGTCGCTTCTAAAAATTAATTGCTCTTTATATAGTCTAGGGCTGGTTCTTGCTAGTAAAATTAGATCCTTGCTCTGTGGTTAGAGGCCTTCAATAGATCTCAGGATTTAGGCAAGTGTGAAGTAAAGGAATTGAGCCTAGATTACCCCTCAGTGTGGACCACCCATGGAGTATAGTCAATCTGCCCTTCTGGTCATGTGAAATCAAGCAGACAGGTTGCTCTGTTTCTTAGAAGGATCTGATGCAGATGGACAGTATCGGGAGTTTGTTCCTGGCCTGAGTTATACCAAGTGGGTACTTTTAAATTTGAGCGACAGTTGATGGTATGGACTTCCGGAGCCAGGGCAGGGTGTGACAGGCATTTCCCCGCTCACTGACTTGTGCTTCTAGTAGCTGCCAAAATTTATCAGTTGCATCTTTTTGATACTGAGACAGAAAAAAAGCAGAGAGATTTAAAGAACTACAAAAATCAAACAGGAGGGGAGTGATCTATCGAGAAAGATTTAGTCTGTGAAATGGACATAATTTTACAGGGGCCACACATTTTAGCGCATGGGGGAGAGAGAAAATGCGAAGAAAGCTTGCTCCTTTTACCTGCTGTTTGTATTATCCACTGCCTTCATGGCTGTTATAATAAGCCTACAAGTAACTAAGGAGAAACAAGGAACAAAGGTAGTGAAAGAGCAGGGATAAACAAGATTTCTTGGAAAATTATAATAGGTTCCATGATGATTGAAATGGCATCTAAAATTTCCTGTAAATAAGCTTGCTTTGATAATGAGGCAGAAGTGAAAAATTTTCTAGGTCCTTTGCTCCTTTTACTTTACTGATTCCTAATTTATTAAACTTTTGGATAATTTAGGGATCTTTTATGCTTTTCACTGCTATTCATAAATATTGTTCTTAATTTTCTTTGCTCATCAATCTACATAAGAATCTGATCTTCTGAAATTTAATCTGTAAGACACTCATGCTAAACTTATTCTGTCTCTAGCTACCAATAGCCTTTTTTAAAATTTGAATTCCGGTGAACTGCGCTACAAGGAGAACATAAAAATTTTGCAAAGTAGTTTCCAGTATTAGATCATCAAATTAATGAGTCAAGTTAGGAATATTTTATTTTCCACCAAAATGTAGACTGCAAGGAGAGTAAAAATTGAAAGTTACAGATTTTCATATGATGTATGAATCAGTACATGAGACCTTAAAGATTTGAAGTTCATATGGTTAGCTGAATATCAGCAGCTGGATAGAAGAGACTTGAATTAATGTATGCAAGTAAGGAGAGAGGGTAAATTAAAAAAAAAGATTCAGTATGTTTCTTTCCACATGCTTACTGGCCACAAAACCCAGCACTGTGTCCAGCACAAGTGTGTGTTGCCTTTTGCTGCAGCTGGAATTTGGAGCATGTGTGATGGAGCTGGAGGTGCTGTGGATGTGTGTAAGTGGGAATGAAAGTACTGCTTGTGGGGAGAGATCATGGAGGAAAAAGGAGAGTAACTGGGTTAATATATCAAGGGGGGAGATAATAGGTGTAGGACACTAGTCCTTATCAATTCTGTTCTTCGTGAAACAATTTTTTAATATTGAATATACATTTCCAAGGTGTTCAGAGTTAGGTTTTGGCTAAATTGTATTTGCATATAATTATGCAAAAATCAGAATTCTTCTAACAGTAGATGTTTACTAGAGAGCAAAATAAATATAAGTGGTATCATGCGTATGTTGTCTTAAAGGAAGAAGTGATGTTTTAAATGGCCTTAAATTAAAAATTAATCTTCCTGCTAAAAGTAAGGTTTTTCTTGCTTGTTTCACATTTCAGCATCATAGATCAAGAAATGTTTTATGGCATATAAAATACAGTTTTTTTGAAGTAGGCAGCCATAGTTGCTCTGCTTGCGTTCACTAATTTATGCTGTCAGTTTGTTAAGATTAATTAAATTCTGTAACTGAATATCTGAAAAAGTTTATTTTTCTATGTCAGTCACCACTCTGTTTCCTACTTACTGCACGTTTCCTTTGGACAATTATGTCCTTAACTGTAAAACATTAGTTACATGATTACATTTCTCAAGCCTTACTGTTATTAAAAATAGTTAAAGTAAAATCTTAGTTATGAAGCAGCTAAAAAACATTGTATGTTGTGTTAGTGTAGATTTTAATTATTGTGTAATGTGAAATACTTTTTAACACTGAAATATGTGATGTTGAATAATAGTGGTAATTACATCTCAAGCGTAGCTATTGTAATGATGTTATATAATTTAATGAATTTTTTTTTTCCTAGCATACATTTATTAAGAATGCCAAGCCAGTTTCAATTTTAAGAGACCTGATCACTGAAGCTATGGAGATAAAGGCAAAGCGACATGAGGAACAGCAGAGAGAACTGGAAGAGGAGGAAGAAAATTCGGTGTGTACCTTGTTTGCTATAACTATCTGTACGTCATAGGTAAGGTGCTGTTTTTCCCCCCTACTTCCTGTACTTGTCTTCAAATACTTTGTTTACCAGGTTTCTACCTGGTTTTTAGCCTATGAGGACTGAGTATTCCACTCTTATTTATGATGAGTAATGCTGCTGTGAGCAATGCCATATTGACCCAGCATTCAGCACTATTCTGTGAGATGTCCTAGTAAAAAATTTTTCTAGGAGGTGGGAAGAGAAACCACGTCAACTTCAGCTGCTCAGACTAACATAAAAAAACCAAACAAACACCCCCCTCCCCCCCAGACCCCTGAAGTTGTTCAGGTTCTACTTTCACATAATGGGCTTCTAGACATGTGGTGTAATATTCAGTTCAGGGCACTTAGTTCTTTCCCCCCCCCTTTTTAAAGTCTAATACACGGAACAGTTAGTTAGGTTATGAAGCACAGTAAATAGTTACTACAATACGGTTTGAATCAAATTGCGCCTATAAATGGTGACAGCATTTCATTCCTTGGATGACATTGTCAGCATATGTTTGAAGAGAGAAGCAGGTCATGTGATAAATAGGTTGCATTTAGAATTGTTTGGCAGTGTTAGGAAGAAGTCAGCGTTCCTGGCATTATTACTCTCCCTACATGATTAATTTTAGGGCAGTCTTGTGCAATGCAGCAGTATGTGCTTCAAAGAAGTGTATTGCCACACGTACAATGAGAGCCAAGGTCATTCAGGAATAACACACAAGAGAAGATGGAGACTGGAATGTCAGTAGAAATCTTACAGCTTCGAGCAAACAGAAAAGGGCAGTGCAGTAATGCAGTCTGCCCTGTCCCAAATTGTAGAATCTTTATGTGTTACAGAGTGTTAGGTAATGATCTGTATATAAGAATACTTTTCAAGCAGATTCTGTGGGGTGTTTTGTATCCTAACAGACAGCATGGTCTTTAGTTTGCTGGATGTTTTTCTGTTTTAAGAGAATGTTCTAAGAGTATTGATAGCTTGTGTTTAAAGATGGTTTACTCTGGATTGTATTTGCTTAGTAATAAAACAGGCAGGGAAGGTTTGGATTATTTTTTTTATGTTAGGTAATGTTGTCTGTGTGGAGATGTGTGACTTGACATGCAGAGTTGATGTTTGAGTTGATGTATTGAATAGTTGATCTCTGAAGAGACTGGTTTATTACCTAGATGAAAACTTAATGTCTTTACTATCATGTGTTCCTCCCTACTATTGCCTTCTGGACTGTAGACCTTAAACACTTGAGTGTTGTTGATGTATTTTACATCAACCTAAAATTAGGTATGACATCTAATTACTTGGTCTGAGGTTCAAATGGTCAGATGGGGAATTGGCTTGCCAGCCAGGGACGAAACAATCTATGCCAGCTCAGTCCGTGGTGTATACCTCCCAGTACTGGGTGGAAGGGTGCAACACAAGTTTGGTCCACCTCAACTGAAGAAGCCAGAATGTAACACTAAATTTCCTCCCCTCCTCCCCCCAGATTATTCAGTGTTTGATATAAGGAAACCTCAAATTCAGGATTGGGGCAGGAGTCTGTTACATATATCACCGTTGCAGCAGATGGGAGTTTTGCCATGTGCTTTTTGTGGTGCAGTCAGGGAATGGGTTATGAGTTAAAAAGACAGCGAGACTCTGCTTGTCGCTCAGTGTAAAGGTAGGTGACTCAAATCTGAAAATAACAAAGTATGTTTGGTTAGCAGGGCTGAGAGACCAGAGTCACAGAATAGTTGGGGATGGAAGGTACCAGTGGAAGTCATCTGGTCTAACTCCCCTACTCAAGCAGGGCCACCTAGAGCTGGTTGTCTCGGACTGTGTCCACACAGCTTTTGAATATTTCCAAAGAGGGAGACTCCCACTACCTCCCTGGGCAGCTTGTGCCTGTACTCGGTCACCCTCACAGTAAAAAAGCGTTTCCTAATGTTCAGAGGGAACCTCCTGTGTTTTAGTGTGTGCCCGTTGCCTCTGGTCCTGGCACTGGCCACCACTGAAAAGAGCCTGGCTTCATTCTCTTTGCGCCATTCCTTCAGATATGTGTACACAGTGATGAGGTCCTCCTTGAGCTTTCTCTTCTCCAGACTGAACAGCCCCAGCTGTCTTAGCCTCTCCTCATAGGAGAGATGCTCCAGCCCCTGAATCATCTTTACGGCCCTTTGTGGGACTGTCTCCGGTATGCCCATGTCTCTCCTGTACTGGGGAGCCCAGAAGTGGGCCCAGCACTCCGGGTTGTCCTCACCAGTGCTGAGGAGAGGGGAAGGATCGCCTCCCTCCGCCTGCTGGTAACACTCTGCCTAATGCAGCCCAGTGTACTGTTTGCCACCTTTGCGGCAAGGCTGTGCTGCTCTTAAAAATAAGTGCAGTTGTAGTCTGTGGAAATGCTAAGTCTGTCATTTTTTTACTTATACTGACAGAATTTTAGGGACTGTAATCATATACCAGTGCATGAGCATCAACAAACCCAGAACCAGAAGTCAGCCTCTGCTTGAAGAAATTGCTTTTACATTTAAGGCAGAATGTCAAAGTGGATGACAGAGACACAGGCAGAGGAGGTATAAGAGTCAGCATGGGAAGCTCTGGCATTATCATGCCTTGCTGAATTTTTTTGGGGGATCATAATGTAGAGGAGTTTTAAAGGACAACAATGTCAGTTTTGCAGAGGCCTAGAGGCAGCCCAGCTGGTAGTAGCAGATGACCTGAGAAAAGCGTAAAGGGGTTTGAAAACTTAACAAGTGAGTAATGGAAGAGGCAAATTTGAGGCAGAGCTGACTCCTGAGTAGAGAGTGAAGTGATAGGAGAAGGCCATGAAAGAGGGCTTGTGAGTGAGACTCGTCGGCTCGGAAAAGGAAGGTAGTTAGAAAAATAAAGAGTATGACTTCAGCATAATGAAAGACAGAAGGTAAGAGGCTGAAAGGTGGACCTTTGTGGTTGTATTACCTTGAGTGGAGGGGTTACTAGATGAGACTTTTAAGATGACAAACAGGCAAGAAGGATGAGAGAATCTGGATAAAAATATTTATCAATATGGACATTTTGAAAAGAAAGGTAAGTTTGTTAGCGCAAGCCCTTTGTACACATGTGCTTGTAAAAGACTTCAGGATTATTGTAAAAAAAATAAATAAAATGCATTCAACATGCACATTATGCTATATAGTATCCTTGGAGTTAATTACTTAGGTTCTTTTAGAAATAGTTTTATTATCCTTAGTAATTTGATGTCTTGTACTCCTTTTTCGTTTTCTATGATTATGCTGACTTACAGGCTATAATTGATTAACTAAAATTAGTAAATAATACCAAGTGATATTTGCAAGGGATGTTGAGAGATGGATCCTGGATAATGAGTGCATAATATATTGCATTTGGACATAATTACATAAGCTTTCGCGATTGCGTTTTTGAGCTAAGTAGTTTGCTTCCTTAGCCAAGATAAGCTGGCTGCCTCTGTGAGTCTATGTTAATGCAAAGTAAACTTTGTGAAGGATGGACTTAAAGTGATACTGAAGGTAGGCTGAATACAAAGCACAAAAAAGATCAGTGCAAACTATCCTTTAATATTTTAGAGCATAAGATGACAAGTTTAAGAGTTCAAGTGAGTGGTTACTGCATATTGCAAAGGGTTGGTAACTGCTTGAACTATACATTCTAACTTTGCTTAACAGGTTATTGTAAGTGTTTTTCTTTGGGGAAAACAGAGAAACCTTAATCCTTACAATGCTATGTCTGTTTTGTTTGCTGTGAGAGATCCAGTAGTAGACTAGGCTACACAAACAGTCTGTAGTCCAATTCATTGTGGGCTAAGGTAAGTCAGGCTGTCTTATATTTGCTACAGACCTGCATGTGTGTTTGAAGTGACAGTAATTCAGAGGAGATGTTTGCAATACCATGGCAAGGTGATTGAGAATTTACCTGTAGTTCTCCAGCAAAAGCCAGCTTTTCTCATGGCAGAGAAAACAGATTTTTTTTTTTTTTTTTTTTTTTTTTTCTTAAATATTTTGTGTCATTCTTGCAAACTTCAGTAGGGAGAAGGAATAGATCTCTGAGCTTGTGGGAAGTTCCAAATGTTGAGAAAGACCATGTGCAAAGATAAGAAAATACGCCACTTGTAAATGGAGCAAACAAAAGGGAAGTACTATCTTGTCCTGCTGGCAAAGTCACTTGTCAGTGTGATAGTTTCATATTTTTTATGCTGATCATAGATAGATAAATTTTGTTACTCCTGGAGGTTGTTCTGGTTGTTCTGTTCATCAGTACTGACGGTGAGGTGAGGAACATCGTCTCCAGTTGCAGCTACTAAAGGTTCTGATCAGTTAAAAGCATAAAAACGAGCCAAACTAGGAAACTGCAGGGCAAACAGTTACAGTTTTTTATTTAATCAGAGAAGTTTTCTGTACCATGTTTCCTGAATGCGTGTTTTTCATGTACTGTGTGCTAGAGCAAACATGTAGGTGTGACTGAGGCCTCAATTAAATGAAATTCTGGACAGCACACATTTTAGTTTTTAAAGTGTACTAGGCAGAGATTGATCAATGGTCCCACATGTTATTAGAGGGAACCAGGATAAAACCCAGAAGAATAAAATAAAAGCATAGGAATATTTGTGTTTGTCATCTAAAAAAAAGCCAAACAAGCAACAAACCCTTCAAAATCCCCCACTTTAATTTGAAATAATACTTAATTTGAAAATAAGCTCAAAGATTATGTCTTTTATTTAATTTGGAACTTGTTTGGGGAACTGCCAGAAAAACAATAAACCAATTGTTTTTATACTTCTGAGTGTTCATTCTTTCCCTTCTGGAAAGGGAAAACAGATGAGTGCCAGCTTGGTATTGTAGTGGATGAAGTCAGCAGTCCAGCATTCAAGTGTAAAGATAAATAACTGTTACACATTCCTTCTTGTTATGTACCAGTGTCCACAGCACCTCGAAGAAATACAGGGCTGTTTGTGTGTAGTTTGCATGGCTACACGAACA